GGTCCAAAGTGTGGTGTCACTTTACAAAATAAGATGCAGAAACTTCAACCTACAACAAATGATTTAAGAATATTTGGTGCAAAGACAAATTAATAAGTTGGTCAATTTCAAGTTTGACTTTGCCTCAGAAATAGTTATTGCTTCATAAACCTCTGTGTGAGTGTGTGTGTGTGTTTTAGTTATTTATTTTTAAAGTACCGATTTAAATACCGTTTAGGAACCGGTATCGTTTTGAAAGTATCGATTTAAACCCTTTCAATACTCAACCCTATGTATGACAGGATGGGGGTGAGACCAGATGGTTGAATGAGGTGTTGTTTCCATAAATCTGCTAATCTTTCACTGCCTCCCACTGCAATGCACTTCAGAAATTACAATATTTATCATAACTTTGGTTTCACTTGGCCAATCAACAATTAAAAAATTGGTGTATGGCTTCAAGTCTGTACTTCTGATACAAACTGAAGCAGGTTTTTGGAGGGGGGTTTATATTTCTCACTAGAGTGATTTAAATTGTCATCTGACCAGGGTCCAGGGACTCCAGGGGGTTAATCGTCATATTGATTTTTGGATAAATACCACAATTATTTGTAATTAATTTTTTTGCCAGTATTATATTCCCCCACCCTATACAATTATGTTTTAAAACCTAATCGATATCATTTGCATTTTGTCCCCTAGCTCTCTGACCCGCTGGTACTCCAGAGTCATTTTCCAGGCACCTACTGAGGAACCAATCAGTGGACTCAAAGTTTGTTTGCTGGCTGCATTGCAGAAGTACTATGAGGTAACAGTTTTACATCTTCTTCACTCAAAAAGCAATCACAGAATGGCTGGAATAACTCTTTAAATGTGTTGTTTGCTAAAGCAGTTGAAACATTTTGCAGTTGTTTTTAGAATAAAATACAGCAGGTGTACATGCACTCAGAACACATCACATTTTACCCAAAACTTGTGTAGTAAAATTGCTCCCATCCCACGTCACACTTGGACCTGTTCATGTGTCCAGGTAAACCACAACCTGCCAGACAAGATTGTGGTGTATCGTGATGGTGTGTCCGATGGCCAGCTGAAGATGGTGGAGCAGTACGAGATACCTCAGCTGATCAAATGCTTTGAGACGTTCCCAAACTTTGAGCCCAAGCTGGTCTTCATTGTGGTACAGAAGCGCATCAGTACCACCCTCTACTCCTGGGCAGCAAACAACTTCGGCACACCTCCACCTGGAACAGTTTTGGATCACACCCTCACCCGAAGAGACTGGTCAGATTCAACAGTCAACAATAGTTCACAGAATAATTGGTTTCTTAGTTTGTTGACACATTTTAAAAAGTCTCAAAAGACCTTGATTATGACAGGGAAGGTTTGGGATAATAGTTGACATGGCATTACATAGATGGTAACATTGATGTCATACTGACTAAAGCAGAATATTTTTTGTGTTTTTAACATTTAGGGTGGACTTTTTCCTGATAGCACATCACACTCGCCAAGGCTGTGGACTTCCTACACACTACATTTCTTTGTACAACACAGCAAACCTCACACCAGACCATCTGCAAAGGTATTTTATCTACATGAAAAAAACAGAGTTGTGCTTATACCTAAAACTTTTAGGTAGTTGGAGTGTTGCTGCGTTCCAGTTGTATTCAAATGTTGGAATTTCTGACTTTTGAGTCCAAAATATCTGGAACAGCACCTAGTGTTGTAATTTCAAATTGGGAAGTCTGTGCAGTACAACTACGGGTGTCCCGATATAACTTTTTCACTTCCGATATGATACAGATATTGCAGTCTTGAAATTTGGCCAATACATATATTGGGTTTTTATTACTTATTTTGTCATGTGGAATAAAAAAACAAGTCTCAATCAAGTCAAAAACATTGATCAATAATCACCAGTAGGTATGAGGGAAACTGACCCATCTATAATTACCAGCCATTTGGCTCCTCCACTTTTAAACATTAGCATCATGCACCGATAGCTGAATCTGAGCGGAAAAGACTGACACCTGCTGCCTTCTAAGCTGAGGTAAGGTTACCAACAGTCCCTTATTAGTCAGAATGTCTGTATTTTAAGCCAAATTTTTAAGCCAAATTTATTTTAATCACACAGAGAATCAGTCCTTTTCCAACTTTTCTCTTGTTCTCTGTAGCCTCTCTATCAGTCAGCCACCAAACACTGTCTTCCAACACAATGCCTCATGTTCACAATGCAAGAACATATTCTCATTCTTATCCTAAATTTCTCTTCATTTTGTTCATACGAAGGGTTCGTACGAACATGTCATGTCAGATTCAACAAACTCTTCCATCTTCAGGAAAAGTGTGCAAATGAGCAGCGTATACATGATGAATGCGTATCAGGTGCTCGTGCACGAGGACAGGTGATTTACATAATTACCACCCCAAAAACACCTTATAAGGTTATACGTTTCCTGCCCGGCATACCAGGAAGTGTCCATTCATAAATGACATCGCAGAGTAAAAAAGAAGAACTTCACGAGTTTGGAGATTAAAGTCCTGCTGTCAGAGATCCAGGGGAAAAAATCTGTCATTTTTAGCAGTGTCAGACCTGCTAAAGCCAAGGAATAACATGACGACTGCTGTTAATGTCGTGTCTCCCGTGGGTCGTACAGTCACAGAAATAAGAATCTAAATCATATTCATCTTTCTGTAGTCCTGCTCCGGTTTGTCTTTGGTCAAATATTTTTAATTGAAGTGTAAACCACTGTGTTACTGTGTTTACATTTATTCAGAAGAGGAGCTGTCGTGTACTGCAGTTTGCACTGTTTCAATTAAAGGAAACAAATTTTCTGACCGCATGTTTGATTCATTTTGTCCAGCTATAGACTAGGGCTGGGCGATATGAGGAAAGTCTTGTATCCCGATATTTTTTTGGCTATATCACGATACACAACATATATCACAATACCTCCAAAATTGCTGAAAATTTTTTTAATACTGAATCTGAACAAATGTAAATGTTTTCTTTTAATCATTTTAACTATCAGTTTCTCACACAAGTATTTTTACAAATAGAATTGACATTGTTTTTGTTTTTTTTTACACTCTAGATCTTTAATAAACTCAAAAATAAATAAACCATAGCAATATAAAAAAAAGGTACATCAAGCAAAAAGGAAAAATAAACCATTGAAACTTAAAAAGGTTCTCTTGTGCTTTCAACATAAATGTAAAATAAAAAAAATGTGATGGCTTTAAAATACAAAAACAAAAGTATAAACAGTGACAATAACATTGACTGACCCAGAACGGCATGTTTTGCAAATTACCACATTTTGTTCTACACTCACCGGCCACTTTATTAGGTACACCTGTCCAACTGCTCGTTAACACTTAATTTCTAATCAGCCAATCACATGGCGGCAACTCAGTGCATTTAGGCATGTAGACATGGTCAAGACAATCTCCTGCAGTTCAAACCGAGCATCAGTATGGGGAAGAAAGGTGATTTGAGTGCCTTTGAACGTGGCATGGTTGTTGGTGCCAGAAGGGCTGGTCTGAGTATTTCAGAAACTGCTGATCTACTGGGATTTTCACGCACAACCATCTCTAGGGTTTACAGAGAATGGTCCGAAAAAGAAAAAACATCCAGTGAGCGGCAGTCCTGTGGGTGGAAATGCCTTGTTGAGGCCAGAGGTCAGAGGAGAATGGGCAGACTGGTTCGAGCTGATAGAAAGGCAACAGTGACTCAAATAACCACCCGTTACAACCGAGGTAGGCAGAAGAGCATCTCTGAACGCACAGTACGTTGAACTTTGAGGCAGATGGGCTTCAGCAGCAGAAGACCACACCGGGTGCCACTCCTTTCAGCTAAGAACAGGAAACTGAGGCTACAATTTGCACAAGCTCATCGAAATTGGACAAGAGAAGATTGGAAAAACGTTGCCTGGTCTGATGAGTCTCGATTTCTGCTGCGACATTCGGATGGTAGGGTCAGAATTTGGCGTCAACAACATGAAAGCATGGATCCATCCTGCCTTGTATCAACGGTTCAGGCTGGTGGTGGTGGTGTCATGGTGTGGGGAATCTTTTCTTGGCACTCTTTGGGCCCCTTGGTACCAATTGAGCATCGTTGCAACGCCACAGCCTACCTGAGTTTTGTTGCTGACCATGTCCATCCCTTTATGACCACAATGTACCCAACATCAGATGGCTACTTTCAGCAGGATAATGCTCCATGTCATAAAGCTGGAATCATCTCAGACTGGTTTCTTGAACATGACAATGAGTTCACTGTACTCAAATGGCCTCCACAGTCACCAGATCTCAATCCAATAGAGCATCTTTGGGATGTGGTGGAACGGGAGATTCGCATCATGGATGTGCAGCCGACAAATCTGCGGCAACTGTGTGATGCCATCATGTCAATATGGACCAAAATCTCTGAGGAATGCTTCCAGCACCTTGTTGAATCTATGCCACGAAGAATTGAGGCAGTTCTGAAGGCAAAAGGGGGTCCAACCCGTTACTAGCGTGGTGTACCTAACAAAGTGGCCGGTGAGTGTATGTCCTCTTGATGAAATCCAAACCACTGACAGATTATTGATCCAGTGCTGTTTCTCTTCGGAACTACTTTATCTGAGTTGTCTTCAGTTTTAGTCTCATTCACATACTCACCTGAATCTCCCGCTGCCACCATGTTTTTCCAACACACGCATGCTCTCTCTGTGTCCAGAGGGGAAGGGGGCTAGTGATGTCAAGTGTGTCAGATAAGCGAAAATTGCAGGGACTTTGCTTATTATTTGCATGATAATTTATACTCCATTGTTATGATAAAGCCATTTTAACCATCGTACATTAAAAAACCCAAGATACATTGAGTATATTCAATACATCGCCCACGCCTACTGTAGACTCTGTCCAGTCAGAGCCGAGTATTGTGTAGTTGGTGCTTTTCATCACTTTTCAGTTCAGTTAACTCAATCCAAGTCTATGGAACAGTCACAAAATGTCACCAACTTCTCACTCTGTCCCTCTAAAATCTTTCAGAAAATCTTAAAAATGTATTTAATCGTATCATTTGCTGAATATTGTAATTATATACCGTTTCGTGAGCAGAATATCCTGTGATTAGTGTATAGCTACAACCCTAGTAAAGACGCTCCGATGCCTCTCTAGTTAAAGGCCTGCGCTGCACCAAAGAGCCTCAACACCTGTGCAGGGAACACAGTATTATGACCTGCTGTCAGGGTGGGGAGTCAAGCTTGGTTGGCTCTTCAGTACTGTAAAGGATTGTGTTTACATTCAATAGGAGCCTCTCAGCTGCAACGTTTTTTCGGACTTTACCTAAAATTACTGCCACATTGCTGACATTGCTCCTACTCCTTGCTACATGTTAGCACACACTGTTGTGATCATGTGGGCTCTGCATGCAGGATCCAAGCGCTGCTGGATAGAAATGCTGGAGCAGACTACTGGAATGAATTGCTTGTATTGGAGTGCTTATATTGGAGAATTTAGATTCAGGCTGATATAATCAGACACTCAATTTTTGGCTGATATCAGACCAATATCTGAAAATATTGAAATGAAATTAACAAACTCACGTTTACCATTAACGAGTTAGCATACTGCTTTAATTCAGCTTCAGAATGAATATATCACACAGCCACACATGGAAGTATGTCATATGCCGATATTTTAACACAGTGCAGTCATGCAACATCAATGCCAATTTCACGAACTTGTGGCGACACATCCTGTTTTGGTAACCGGATATTTCAACATAAGTCTGATGTAATGCAGTTCATATACAAATCAAACCTTTGCGTGCGAACGCAATACAATATTGCGAGGTAACGCAAAGGTATTGTGAGGGAGCGCAAAGGATGGCTGCCTAAAAACACTGCAGGATTTCTCAAACATGCATGAATGAGTCAAAGCAAGGCTTTGGGTATGTTTTTATGAGAGTGTAAAATTATAATGATTTAAAACTCAAAATAGTTTATTTTACATTATATTGCCCCATTAAAACAATGTTGACACATTTTTTTGTTTTAAAACTGTTCATTTTAAGCTCATTAAAAGCCGTTAGGGTTATAAAACTTGATACTAATAGTTTTGTTTTACACCAGGCTGACCTTCAAGATGTGTCATCTGTACTGGAACTGGCCAGGAACCATTCGCGTTCCAGCACCATGCAAATATGCCCACAAACTGGCCTTCCTCGCTGGCCAGTACCTGCACTCTGAGCCTGCCATCCAGCTGTCAGACAAGCTCTACTTTCTTTAAGTTGCTTCAGTAAAGTTTTCAGTTACTAAGTTACAGTAACTTATAGTAAGTATATGTTGCAGATTGCAGTTTTCAGCTGAACAGTTAAGCTATATGTTGTGCAATCCAAATTTAAGCTTTTTATTTTATAGTATTATTAGTAGTAGTAATATTTTGTGCTGRTTATTAAAACCTGAAAATTTTAATTTGTACATTTTTGTAAAGGTTCTAACAAAATGTTCTTTTATGAAAAACTTTTTTTTACTTGTATATGCACCTAACTTTTTTTTCTCCCCAAAGATCCACTATCAGCAAAATGTAAAAAGTGCATTGTATTGTTTTAAAATAAAGGTAAACTGCATATTTGCTATTTCAGTTGTTTTTAGTTAATTTAAAGGAAACTATTAGAAATAAAACCTTTTGCAAAAAAAAAAAAAAACAACCACTGAAGTTCAAAGTAAACCTCGACCATAGAAATGAKCAGCGGAAATGACGGAACCCATCAAATGAAACTAAAATTGTTTGAGCAACAGATAGCTACTCTACCTCAAAAGAAAATCCAGTGGCAGGAACAGCAGTGAGGTTTGCCATCTACAGCAACAAAAAATGAGACAAACCAGCCTTTGTAATTGTATTTTAAAAAAGTCTGAAATTTGGAAACGGGGAAAGCCTCAACCCTCTTGCACCTAACAGAACGTGACTAGACGTAATGGTTTCTCTAGTAATGGAATGTGAATTTTATATTTTTCAGGTCTAATTATAGAAACTAGAGAATAGACTACATTTTTTCCAAACTGTTCCCAAGTAGCATTTTGCATTGTGTAGAGTATTTTTTAATCTTTACTTTGACAGTGATGAACAGTTCCACTAAAACACTAATGAGGGAACTAATGAGGCGGTACCAAGATGGCGGCCTGAGCAGTTGGTTGTGACCAAAGCTCTGTAAATTACCGCAGATTATTCTCATTTAAACTGTTTAAGTCTACACAAAAATGCTACATGGATGTGAGTAAGGCAATGAAGCCTGCAAAACTGCATCTTGGATCTCCAAAGACAAAAACAACATCACAGGTGAAAGAACTTGAGCACGATTATGCTATGGATGTATGCTAAACAAGCGTGACCGCGATAGCTCGGCTCTGACGACTCCAATAAAGTCAAACTGAGAAGAGAGCGAAGTCAGCAGAGGAAGATGGTACGGTCCAAGTCTCTAATAATGCCATTCTTGAAGCTATTATGAGCTTAGAAAAGAGTGGAAACACAACTCGAAGACATTACAGCAAACGACAGCAGCGCCATGATTGCAAGCTTGACGAAGGCAGTATAATATAATGCTGAGGAAACGAAAGACTGCAAGGTGAGGATTTCAAAGTTGGAAAATTCAAATAAACAGCTACTTAAAGATAATGATGAGCTCAAAGAAAAGATAGAGATCAAGAGCGGTACAAAATGAGATGGAGCCTTTGCGTGAAGGGAATGAAAGAAAAGGATGAGAATATCAGAGAAGATATTCCATAAGTTCTAAAGAAGATAGTTCCTGAGTTGTAGTCGAAAATGGAAAATGCAGTGGATGTCGTCCACAGGCTGGGGGAAAAAGAGACAAACAGAACCAGGAATGTGATCGTCTTGTTTACCCAAAGACGAATAAAGAAAAAAATGGAAGAGGAGGAAAGGATAAGCTATTTGCAAAGGGCATCAGTTTTGCAGAGATGTTGCCAAAAGAAGACCTGGAGGAATGATGTCGCCTGTGGCCCCTGATAGAAGAAGTGTGGAAAGCTGGAAAACAGGCATTTTTTTTGAGGTCGTCATGCATATATTGAAGGTCGAAGAGTGGAACTAAAGAGATGAATGATTGTTTGCGGTAGTAAAGAATATGGTATCAATATTTTGATTGTTTTAGCTAAACATTATTTACATATATGCCGTTTCTTTAAATGCAAACCTAACATGTCCCATTGGAGGAATGATTTAAAATCATATGAAAAAGGCTTTAAAGTTTGTAAAGGAAAAAAASGCAGGTAAATTCATTTCCTTTTTGGAAAGTTTTAATTTCCTTGAATAAACCCTTTCTCATGTTCAAATGATAGCACAATAATTAATGCTGGCCCTTGTTAGTATATGTTCTTTATTTTGTTCTGTTCTACTGTTAATTTTATGTTTACTCATGTCATAAAGTGCCTTTTTGAATGTAATTGTTCAATGCAAAAAGTATGTGCCTTTTTGTTATGTAGTGAAAGCTTGTAAATAAAGATTTTTTTTGGAAAAAAAATAGGGGAACTAATTTCCTGATTAGTGCTTTAGGGCTTTTGCTAATTTTAAATTTTATTAGTGAATTAGCACTTGCTAAATTTAGAAGCACTAACTGAAGTCTATAAACAGTGGTGGGCAACGATAATCCTAAAACTAGCTCTGTAATTTCTAAAATGCTTGTGAAATTATTTAAGTCCACAACTTCAAAACCGCTCATGCCATAGAAAAACTAATGGAAGCTAAATCTAAAGCACAGATTCAATTTGACACTTACTAGCTGGCAACAATTCATGTACAACATATGCACAACAACTGCCAACTAGTGGCATACAAACCCTTGTGTTACGTCCACCAGGCTCGTTTGGTGGGGTAACATGAAAGGAGACCACACAAGGATTAATTTACTTCAAAAAAATAATAGTTTATTAAATTATACTAAAGAAATAAACCTCAGAGGGAATACCTGAAATGAGAAAAACCAAACTGAGATTAATCCAAGACTCATAAATATTTNTTAGTATATGTTCTTTATTTTGTTCTGTTCTACTGTTAATTTTATGTTTACTCATGTCATAAAGTGCCTTTTTGAATGTAATTGTTCAATGCAAAGAGTATGTACCTTTTTGTTATGTAGTGAAAGCTTGTAAATAAAGAGATTTTTGGAAAAAAAATAGGGGAACTGATTTCCTGATTAGTGCTTTAGGGCTTTTGCTAATTTTAAAATTTATTAGTGAATTAGCACTTGCTAAATTTAGAAGCACTAACTGAAGTCTATAAACAATGGTGGTTAACGCTAATCCTAAAATTAGCTCTGTAATTTCTAAAATGCTTGTGAAATTATTTAAGTCCACAACTTCAAAACCGCTCATGCCATAGAAAAACTAGTGGAAGCTAAATCTAAAGTACAGATTCAATTTGACACTTACTAGCTGGCAACAATTCATGTACAACATATGCACAACAACTGCCAACTAGTGGCATACAAACCCTTGTATACCTTGTATACTCTGGCCCCAGGACCTGATGCTTATGTGTTGGGTCCTGGGCAACCGGAGGGTTTAGTGCTCTGGGGCTCAGTGACGGCGATGGCTTCTGCCACTGCTGTCGCTGTGTCTTCAGGGAGTACCCAGTGCAAGTGTAGCCCCTTGACTGCACCCCAGCGGGGAGTGGTCGGAGCCTTAAAAGCGCAGGGGAAGGTGATGAGGACACAAACATGATGTTTGTGTCCTCTGATGGAGAAAAGGGTCCTAATCGCCGTAGTTTTAGGGATGATAGAATTTATACAGAGCAACTCTCATCATTGTAAAGATGCAAGTGCATTGTTGTGTACCTGCCTTAGTAGGATGCATACAGGCATAGCCTTGATCCAGGAACCTTGGATAGTTAAGTCTGTGGTACGAGGCCTGGGATTCCCTGGGGGCACACTTATATGATGTGAGCAGCCGCAGACCCAGAGCAGCAGTAGTCCTGACAAGAGGTGTAAGATACACTGCACTGCCCCACCTAACAACAGGTGATGCTGTAGCAGTGCAGTTGGACATTCAGGCAAATGGCAAATCCAGACCGATCATTGCAGCCTTGGTTTATTTGCCGTTTGATTCACAGCAGCCACCTCCATCCCAGGAGTTTGTGGCAATAGTCAATCAAGCTAAAGAAAAGGGCCTCCCTGTACTCATTGCTTGTGATTCCAATTCCCATCATGTGTGCTGGGGGAGCTCTGATATTAACCATAGAGGCAGATCTCGAATACTTGCTGACAGAAGACCTTCTAGTCTTTAATCAGGGCAATGTACCTACCTTCCAACTGTTAATAGGGAGGAGGTCATTGACATAACAGTCGGGTCTATGGACCTGGTAGACAAAGTATGTGACTGGGAAGTAACCCCAGATGAAACCATGTCAGACCATCGACAAATTCAGTTTAAGCTGAAGATGGGGAAACCATACCCAGTCACTTACAGAAACCCAAAAAACACTGACTGGAACCTGTTTATCAGCAGTTTATCCCAGTGGATGGGTGGGATGATTGCCAGGATCAAAACTGTGCAAGACAATGAGACAGAGGTCACAAGCATGACTGATGCTGTGCAAACTGCCTATAAGTCTGCCTGTCCGGAGAAAGTCTGGAGGCCGTCAAAGCAGCTAGCCTGGTGGACTCCAGAGTTGTCTGGCCTCCGCAAGGCAGTAAGATGTAAATGGCGAAGATACGGGTCCCAACCAAGTAAAACCAGGTGGGAAGAGTATGTACAGTCCCGCAATCACTATAAAAGTGTTTCAAGGGAATGTAAGAGACTTTTCTTGGACTAAGTTTTGTGAAGATGTTAAAGGGCCAAGCGCCTCTTCTAAGCTCTACAAACTTCTCAGAAAGGATCCAGTCAACTATCTATCCTTCATTATTCCACCAGAGGAATCGACATTCACACAGAAAAGTGTGCTTCTGCATCTCCTCCACGTACACTTTCCTGGGGCAGAAGAGACTGAACAGCCTGTCACAGTTGCTAACTCAAATCCAACAGAGGACGACTGGAACAGAGCTGCAAGTATTGTTATTAAAAGCAAATTAAAATGGGCAATTAATATGTTTGACCCATTCAAAGCTTGTGGTCCAGATGGTATTTTTCCAGCTCTTCTCCAAAGAGGACTGGAATTGCTTCTGGACACAATTACTAGAATATATGTTGCTTGTCTAGCAAATGGCTATGTACCAGTTGGGTGGAGGACAGCAAAGCTTGTCTTTCTGCCCAAACCTGGCAAACCAACATATAAAGAAGCTAAATCTTTCAAACCCATCAGCTTAACATCTTTCTTGCTGAAGGGAATGGAGAAGTTAATTGATCAACATGTAAGTGATCGTATTTTAATGCTATCACCTTTAAGTCCTAAACAATATGCATATCAGGCAGGTCTTTCTACAGAAACAGCCTTACATGATGAACCTCAGACAGGGCTGTACACAGGGAGGAGTAATCTCGCCCGTGTTGGCTCTTGGTTGTCGACAGCTTACTAAATGAGTTGAATGGATCTAGACTCCATACACAAGGGTATGCAGACAAGGCCGGATTAACCATATGGGCAATTGGGCAATTGCCCAGGGGCCCACGGTCTCTAAAGGG